TCAGCATTGTGATTAAGTGTAATTCTTTGTTAAAGAATACTTACTGTATTTGAGTTGAAGCTCTTTGTAGGTTGTGTTGTCCAAGTGAATGTTAACTTGCTCCTTGGACACGACACGAGTTTAAACGTTATTGATTTCAAAATTTAGTTCAGTTATCGGCTTGAGGACAAGCCTAAAACAATGTTGTGAGGAAAAGTGTAATATGTAGCATATCATGTTTGCTAGTTGCTTTTAGTTATATGGGAATGTTTCCTTTTTTGAGTTTGTTTTGTTTCTATGCAGTTTTAAGATAAACTGTTGTGGTCATCTTGTTCTAGTTGCAGTATTTTTTTCTTTTTAGTAATCAATGTCTATTCTGCCCGAGAAAATGCTACAGTAATAATACATCTGTGCTGAAAAGATCACCGACTGCATTATCGTTTGTGGCCGAATTGAAAAATATGTGTATCTAACAACCAACTGCCACTATGAAAGAACAAGATTATGCTGTTAACTGGACAAAAAATCGAGTTCAAAAAGTGGCTTCTTAGATCAGTTCTCCATGGAACTCTACAAGTTCGGCTCAATTTGGAGATTAACGTATTTAGTTCTACAAAGATACATTTTAAGAAAGAGAGAAAAAGCTAAGTATCTAATCGTGAACTAGTAGAAGTGACCGTCTTTTCCTTTACACAAGTACACTGTAGTTTCTTTTTTGTTTATTTCACAATAAAGATTGTGTTTATTTCATTAAACTTATTTACAATCATTATTTTGTAGATAAGAAAACTCAGTAAAGTTTCCAAACACAGGCTACTCCACAAATTTCATGGTCGAATCTGCTATTATTAGTGGATCTAACTAGCTTATACTTGTACGGAAATCATTTCACCTGAAAATACTACTGCATTAGAATGCTACAGCAACAAAACAGGCTTAACTGTCATTCAGTTATTCATAAATCACTGTTACTCGAAGAAAATTAGGGATAAAATATTGTATGGTATTTAAAAAGTTACATAATTTGTGCCAACAAGTGAAGATGAAGATGAATTTTTATATGAAAACATTCGCTGAAGAGTTTGAAAATAAAATAATTTTTTAATCTATTAAAAAATTATCTGTTAATATGTCAAAACCTCTATACTTAGAAATTCCAAAATATGTTTTAAACAATTCTTATAACTATGACTAGAGGGAAGAAACAAAAAATGCATCCCATTGTTAAATAAAGTTAGATAAATCTGTATATACACACATACACATAAAGTTTGGTGTTTTTCCTACAAATGAATTTTACGCTGCATAACTTTCTTGATACGTTTGCTACATAACAATTATTACTTCCCAATCCTAAGTGGATAGTTTTAATTGATGGAAGCAAATGTGTGTGTACTAAAGTGGTTGATTTGTTTTAAAATATCAGTCACAATGTGTGATATAGCAGTACAAAACTAAAAGAGTAGCTAGAAAACCAATAGATAAAACTTTCTTTCGTTCATGGTATACAGAGTCTTCGTGACGAATAAGCAATGGTGAAATAGACAATAACAATAAGTACACCGTGACATTTGTGGAGAAAGTTAAGTGGAGACTGCTGCCCTTTTGGCATTTGTTTCTTCAAAGTGTATAGTTATTTTCGGCTTTTATAGGTCTGTAATTCTTTATAGTAGGTGTCTGTGACTTGATGACGATGAATTTCGACAATAAATGAACAGAACACAGCCCACTTGTTTTACAATTATATATTCAAAACAAGTCATATGTAGGTACAAAAATTCGTTAAATTATTGGTTATCACAGTTGTATTAAGAAATCAAAGTCCACATAGGCGAGTTCAGTTAATTTAGAACACCTTCTGATAAGACAAATTATTCTTCTCTACTCTATCATCACAATATAATTAGTGATAAATTCACTTACGTTACCCCGTGGGTTACCACAGTTGTATACAGAGCTTTAAATAATTCTCTTTTACGTCAAAAGTCCACATAGTCTGGTTCAGTTACTTTAGAACTCAATTTACAAGATTATTTTTTTTTTCGCTTTAACACTTTAAAAGTCGCCACTTTACAATCTTTATGTATCTGCACGTAGAAAAATCTAGAAAAATCTACCCCTCTAGTGACAACAGTATTCACATAACTTAGGAGCTTCCAATAAGATGAGTTCAACAATATTATAAAAGCCTAACACAACAATTAAATTGCGTACACAACATACAACTCGTACAGAGTTACATAACGAAATTTCTCATAACTATCGCTTTTAAAATAATTAACTTTTAACACTCTTGTTATGGAAACTAAATAATCATTAAATAAACGAAGTAATAACTTTTAAACTAAACAGTCTTGCATAGCCAACAGTTATCTTCACTTTCGAGATGTAAACTGTTTGCCATTTTGTCGTCATTGGACATGCTGTGGTAAGAGAGAACCTGTGGCTGATGAATATACATAATGATATAAATATTCAAGAAAGCTATGACGTATAAGATATATAAAGGCTAACTATTAAGAATGTGCTTTGACAAACCAAACTGAGTCAAGATTAATAGTATATTAAGTAATAAAATATGCAGAATTTAGTTTCATTTTTGTTGAAAGTTTCCACTATGTCGTTAATGATAAGAACTTCACGACTTATCCGTATGTATTGGACAGATTTAGAGTTGATATTTTTGTCATGCTCATAAACCATTACGGGCGCTACTTAACTGGAAGAAGCTAGTTCTTCGAAAACGAAACTTGTGCATCACGAAGCGTATTATGGAATCTTCTGGCATATTTATTCTAAACCCAACTTTCTATGAGCTGTTATTGGCGTTTGACTTACAGGTATACATATGTATTTTTAAACATTATATTACTAAAATATATTTTAATTAAAGGCAAACAATCTTTTCTTGCTCCATATTTATCTAAAATGTCACCTTCCCAACAGTGAAACTTTGTACTTCTTAAATAGCTAGGAAGTGATTGCTCTATAATATAATCTGTAGGAACACTACCAAGTTCCTTAAACTCAAAAATAATTTGAATGACATACACCTTGCACATAAGCACTCATGTTCTGTTAGATGTCTCCCAAACTGCCCAAATTTTTAAGTTTTGTCTAGAAGACTGGGGGCATCAATAAGCTATACCTACATTTTTTTAACTTAGTAATTTTTTTTTTTTACAATTTCTCTTTTCATAGCATATTTTTATAACTTTTTTGTTGTTCTATTTACCTAGACATAATGGTCTGTTTTTCTTTTTTTTTCAAACACGACGTTTCTTCCCTATCTCACAACAACCTTGATTTTCTTTATCTGTACACTATACCCAGGGCCGTGTGCAGGAACTTAATTTTGACCGCTTTGGGGAGGGGGAGGGAGGGGAGAGGAGAGGAGGGACGTTAAACACACATATATATAAATAATCAATATAAGTGCACACATGTACATCATATGCATAACAATAAGTATTACACTCACCAAGATGACAGAGTCCATATGCGTAGAATAACTCGGATGGGGCATGACTTTCATAAAAAAAACAAAATCAAGGTTTTATAAGTTGAAAGTTTCTTTCTTTAATCATCCTGGTTAAAAGTTTCACATTTTGGCAGTTAAAAAAACAGATTCCGTAAACATCACCTAGTAAATAACACTTGTATTATTCTAAGAACCAGGAAGTCATTTTAGAAATGTAAAAGAAAAAAAAGCAGAGATAGAAATAAGTGTTCTTTCTTCTTTGAACAAAGAGTTAAGTTACGGATTTATGTTAGATATATGTAATGACAGCAAAATTTGTTGACAAGAGAGGGCGCGGTTCTGGATCGCCAAGGTTACCACGACTAGCCGCAGGGGTTATACTATATACACATTTATTTTCCTGGCAGCTTCTACTATGTTTCACCATGTGCAAATCTTGTGAAAAAACAACAATAATACAAGGAAAGTACTTAAATTTCACTTTCACGCGAAGGCCATCTCTTGATGTAAACAATAGATGATATGCATTTAATATATATTTTGCAATATACATATAATGTAATTTGGCTACGCTTATTCATTAGACTTACATGAAATGACAAGAAATAACTTATGAGCTGTATATTTCACTTACTCTCGTACAGCAATTCTTGAATATTTACATATGTATCGTTGATTGTAAATGTATATTTTGAAAACGTTACTGTACGGTATCTATATAAACAACGCCAAGAAATAAATACAGGTACGTACAAAAACATTTCAAAAAAGTTATTCTACCATTGATAAACAAGAATTTACACAAATAGTTATGAGCTAATTAAATTTATGAAAAATCATAATATATTAAACAAGGGTGAGGGATTTACAGAAAATAATGTAAATAGGTGGCGTGATACCTTGTAAAACATACAAATTAAGATATGATAGAAAGTATAAATAATAGAATATTCTTGTGATACGTACTACTAAAGATGACGCGGTTAAAGTGTCGAAACGTGTCGAGTGACTGTCGAGTGAGTGTCGCTAACAGTGACTGTAGACCAATCCCAAATAAAAACATTTGTTGTGTAAACAATAGCAAGGTATTATTTTCAACTGTTATATTTCTTTATTTACAATTTTACACAATTGCCAAAGAAGAATTTTTCAAAGAGATAGGTAAATAGAACGTGCTCTGCCGGTCTGGTTATAATATATGAAAATTATGTTGAATTAAGTGTCGAAAATACGTGTGGTTGACTATATCAGTTTACAAGAAAGTTAATTCGTGCCTAACGAAAATTTAAAGTTGGTCCTAAAACTTCAAAACTTCTCGAATGATCTTTGTTTCGTACTAGGTGAAGGTCTGTTCCATAGCAGACAATTTATTTCGTAGGCTCTTACTTTCATCACGTGACCCTCAAACGTTCAAGCAGAACCGTGTTCGAACAAACAATAAATAACAAAAAGTTTAGAAAGGGCAAGACATTTTCAGAAGCATTCAACTCTAAACGTGTGTTCAGTTTCCTGTGTCACAATTGTAAAGACCATTTAGAAATAAGAGAATTGAATCGGTACGTCTTTATGACAAATAACTTTATTACGCATGTGCAGCGTATTTTTTTACTACGTGTATAATTATTGCAGACAATACGGAGTTATTAATATTGCTTCTTTCACTGTATTAAGTTGAAAAAGTTAATCTGAGCACACTGATAACATCTGCTTGTCGTCGTTTCCTATAGAGAAATGGTTCTGCCAGTTTTCATTTTTCTTCTGTTCTACTTAACTTCTGTGTCAACTAAGCCAGGTAAACCATATTTTATACTTATCTGTATCACATGTTCACATGCATTTGGATATTATTTTCCTTGTGAGTACCACTATATTGTTTTGTTTGTTTGTTGTTGTATCATTTGGTGGTGGTGGGAGGAGAGATGTTAGAAATTTATCTGATAATATTTCCCTTTAAAAAATAACATTCTTACAAGCTGATATCTCTTATTATAATCAGATCATTTGTGACGTTAGCTCGGATACACAGATCAGCTAAGAAACTGTGTATCTGATACTGAAATAAGTTTTTCTGATGTCAAAAACAGGAGTCGATTAAAAAAATTAAAGGTCGTAATGTAAAGACGTTTTTATTTTATGTAGAGACGTAATTGTTTCGGTTACTGTTGCAGAAATAGCTCATCTGCAGTCCAGCATGGTTTCTCAAATTCCATTCCATTTCTTAGAGCTAAATTGAACTTAGCCATGATCCGTTATGATTTTTCTTTATAAGGCACATATATAGAATACCAAAATGTAAATCAATCACATTGAATGAATAATGCATCTCAATATATCAGAATTAATCACTTGAAAATACAGTGAATGATATAACAATTCATACACGGAGACACAGCGGTGAACGTTTTTGTTTAATTATCTTTACAACTATACCATGCACAACTATTCGAAAGAAATCCACATCTCACTTTAGTCGACATTCTTTGTACGTGAATCAATTGGACTTCAGTTGATCATCAGTCATAAAAATAAATACGTTTAATAATTTAAATGTTTTATCACCATGGTGATAAATTATAAAGACATGTGTTTCCTCACTCCGCTTAGAATTAGAAGTAAAGCGCAGTCAAGATTACGTCTGTTCATTTCTTTATATTAATCAATATACAAATAAAATGTAATTCTTAAGATAATCATTACTTCAGACAACAGACTTTGAGTAGTTTCCCATAATGTCACACCCTTTAGTGTAGTTAGGAGGAGAATAATCAGTCTCGCTTTCACAACGACGATATTCGTGACTATATGAAAATATTATTTACTTTCTCCCACACTTAAAAATGTCTATCATACGTTATAAAATATTTTTAATTATATACAGAAGTTTATAAATCAACATAATTTTTGTGTACGATAAAAATGAAGATTTTCAATTAAATATTATATGTTTATGTTTTGTTTCTATTTTTCAATTGTGTTTTACAAGCTGTTGTCGTGAAAGCGCCTAACAGATGGTTAGTCTGTATAATTGTTTTACTTGTTTAGAATATTGGACAAGGTATAATAAAAGACATTAGCAATAGACCTTCACAGAAACTTATGTAATGAGTCTGTGTCTAATTATGGATTGCTACACAAAGCTGTTATGCTGATGTATAACTACATAATGTTGATACACTTACAAATAACTACATAATGGTTTTACACTTACAAATAACTACATAATGGTTTTACACTTACAAATAACTACATCATGTTGTTACACTTACAGATAACTACATAATGTTCTTATATTTCCAGATAACTAACTACATAATGTTATTCTACTACAGATAACTATATAAGCTTGTTATAAGCACAGGTAATTAATTAATCTATTATAGTCACAGATAACTTCATAATATTATATTCACGGACAGCTACGTACTTTTGTTATATTCACAGAAAACCATATAACAATGTTATATTCACAGATAGCTGTATAATGTTGTTATATTCCCGGATAATAAGATTATGTAGTTATGCTAAAGATAATTATATAAATTCATGTTCTTACATTCACGGATTAACGCTTAATATTGTTATGTTCACCGATAACTGAATAATATTGTAAGATTTACAGATAACTATTCAATCTTGTTATATCCACAAATACCTGCATAATGTTTTTACATCCACGGATAACAACATAATCTTGTTATAATCACAAATAACTACATAATACTGTTATATTCAAGGTTAACTTCATGAGGTTTTTTACATTCACGGATAATTTCACAATGCTGTTATATTAAAAGATAACTACATAAAGATATTTTATTCACAGATAACCACATAATCTTAATATGTTCAAGATAACTACATAAGGATTTTATATTCTCTTATAACTTCATAAGGTTGTTATATTCACGAATAATTACATGATAATATTATACTTATAGGTAACCACATAAGGTTCTTTTTAAAGCTACATAGAACACAAGTCATCCTAGGAGGGTACCTCACATTTTATGGAATTGCTTTTGTTTCGTTTTTTAATTTGACCTCTCTTACTTTCTTCCTGTATCATTGGTTATCTTTCACTAATAAGTGAATTTCACTAATGACCTGCGTAACTAGAAGAGATTACAAAAATGTATACATATATGAGATATCAGGGGTGCAATGTGAAAATGAGAAATCTTTCATAGGTTGTGTAAATATACAATTCAACTTGAAAGAATCAGTTAAACGATCCGGTTACAACGTGAATAAAAGGATTTAATGAGAAAAGATTGAAAGATAGAGAATGGAGATTCCAAGAAAACGTTCATGTATTGGGAAAAATTGTTCTTTGTAAATTTAAAAATATATCTCATTTGTATCGCTTATAATTTTTGTTTTTTTTTTCATTCATTCTCGAAATTAAAGAAGTAACTGCAAACATAAATATTTAAACATTATTTAAAAATACGAAATAAATTATAAAACAAGGTTTATCTCAACAATATAAACATATTTCCAGTGCCGTTTTATGTAAGTTAGTTATAATAAAAATATATTTGTTACGTACGTTAAATATAAATAGTGAGCTTAGATTTAAATGTTAATTAACGCCAATTATTCCATTATTCGTGAATATTCAAAGATAATGAGTTAAAACAATTAGCACTGCAAAATGTCACGACAAAAAAAAAAAAGGAATGTAAAATGAGGTTCAATACTGATAACCATCTGGTCTGTTCTGGTAGCTCTGAAGTTAAACTTTCTCTATTCTCTAGCATGCTTCGTGTTTTTTAATGTATTCACGTAAATGGACGTGACAATCACTCCGCGTGTTGGGTTTTTATTCACAATTGTCTTTAGATGCATTGTCTTGCCACTTGTCTTTCGAACGAGATAAAGACAGACTTCCCTTGTGTAGCAAGGATTTCTGTTTAATCGTCTATTGTTCTGCCTTGGAAATGTTTATACGTTATAACTACTCATTTGTTTCATCATTCATTTTCCCTATTTAATTCGAATAGATGGAGAAATAGGAAAAATTAATCTCTTGGTGTTTTTTAAATATACATTTACACATGCTCAAATATGACTCGTCTGTGAACTGGGTGCTATTTTACATAATTTATTGCACTGAAAAGCACGTAAGATTTCATAACTCAACTTGAAACATAAATCTGTGTCCAAAACAGGCGCTGTGCAAAGTTATCAATGTTATTGAATTCCACAAAGTCCTTTTTATTTCCTGCTTCTTCAAGATGCCTGACTACACACGTGTTTGGCCGCTAGCCAGCATTGATGACTTGTTTTTTGTTGTTTTATTAGCTTTTATTACATAGTATCTTGCAAAATATATATGCTGTATCTTTGGGAAATGAAAAATTAAGAAATAATGTTGAAATGTACTGCTGATAAAACATGTAGACTATTACATAAATTGCCTTCTTAAAGGAAATTGTATCAGAATATACATGTATAATAAATTTTGCCAACACGATTTCTATGTTCATTTTCATATAAAATAATAATTCTTGCGTGGCTGAAACCATAACAAATAATTAAATAAATACAAAACAGAATTAGTGCATCAGATATGTACGAAAACAGGTAATTACATAAAACAAAAACAAATGAATGAGATACCAACAGCCAAAAACTTTTTTATATTTTTATGTATAGAAAATGACGTTTTGAGCTAGTGCTCTTCGTCAGATCGTAGAGCTTAAAACAAAACTTGAAAATTGCACTCGCAGTATTTTTAACGTAAAGTTACAAATCGGTTACAAGAATTAACTATCAACAACGTATTACAATGCTTTAAGTGAACGATCAGACTGAGGGATAGAAAATGAAGGACAGAACAAAATGCTAAAGAAATGGGAAAGCGTTCTCTGCGAATTTAAAAATAAAACTATATGTGCTAACCATACCTAATTTTGAACTGATAGACTAAAAGGAAACAACAAGTCAACCGAACTCACCACTAATTCCTAGGCTTCTCTAATCAAATAGTGAATTTGATCGTCACTCTTATAACAGACCTACGGCTTAAAATGTGGAACACAATTTTGCGTAGCGGGTCACGAACTGTGAACTTTCGTATTCATAGTCAGGCACTCTAACCAGTAGGCCACGCTCAGTCCGAAATAACATTAAGTAGCCCTTGAGTATTACATGTGAGAAAAAACTTTAATTAAGCAGATGTCTAACTTGATTAAATTTTTGAGGGGCAAATTGCATACCCAACTCTACCTTTAGTGAAAGCCCGATAGATTCGGTGAAAGTCTACAAGTAAAAGTGAACTCTCAGACCATAATGGGCTTTCCTTTTGAAGCTCTTGTAGCTTAGTTTGAAGATTATTTTAAGGAAACTGCACTCCTCCGTCTTTCTTCTCTTGAAAACGCGGACATTACGCACAAATTTGCTGAAAATTAATAAAATTTCAGCGAGTGGTTTCAGTAGCAGTCATTCTCCAAGAAAATTATTGTAAGAAATGGTGAGTGGGTCGGAAGTGAGAACGTGTAACAGTCGAGTCGAGAAACTTGGCAGAAATGTCAAAGCAGTTGCATCACTTCTTCTTCAAAGCAGCCTATTTCACAGTAGAGATGTGGTCAAGATTTCTACTGTCTAACTTTGGTACATTTACTGTATTAAATTTAATAATAATCTTGAATTTTGATTCTACAGAAAACTATATTTTACATCAAGAAGTAAATAATATCCTAATAAAACTTTAATTATGAAATACTTCTCTAATTCAGGCTTAAGCGCTTATTCTAACCTTAGTATAAACTGGAAGTTAAATTACTCATGTTCACAAAATCAAATAAAATTCGTAAAAACAAACCAGAGATTTACTTACATGGAACCCTTCTCCAGGCTGCTACATCAGCAAATTTTCTAGGCCTTACTTATGAATCGAAACTAGCCTGGCAAACATACCTAAACGAACTAAAAAACAAAATCTGGAAGCGATTGAACCACGTCAGGATTCTGTCTGGAAAGAACACAGGCACATTGCCGAGAAACATAATAAAATTCTATCAAAAGTACATATGACCGGTAGTTGAATACTCTTGCCTGGCTTGGATTAAAGTTGCACCACACATAGTCAAACATAAATTGCAACTATAGGAAACTCAGTCCTCACTTGTGCATATAAATTTCCACACACAATAAGTTTAGTTTTCCTAAACAAATATGCGAATCTACGGGCACTCTACGACAGACTCTTGAGTAGATCGGTCATCAACTTCCAGAAAAACGAACTAGCACGTTCACTAGATCGCTATATCACACATGATGGAAATGAGCCTAAGCTCCTCTCTCCCTTAAATATGTACTATAGATATAGCAATCAGCCACTTACTGCTAGACTTACTTAACCATATCATTTGTGTGGTGTATTCACTATGTATTATTAGGGTATTAATGTTAAATACAAACTAAATACATTACCAAATGAACAAGCATTGGCATATATGGGACTATTTGTGAATTGTAAGACTGTTGACATTTTAAATGAAGCAAAGTGTATACCAGTGCAAATAATCAACGTTGCACATAAATGGACATGGCCCTGATAGGGGTAACGCAATTATGTCAGTGACTTTGCATAAATACAGAACCCTTATTTGCGAAATGTTCAGCATTTATGAATATTTTTCAAATAATGGTGCCGACTAAAACGGATCAAATAACACCAGTGCGCGAGGGAGGAAGAAGTTTAAACATTACTTGACCCCCTCCCATATCTCGAAGTTTAGCTTCTGCACAATGCTCAGAGTTCGCAGACAATGTGACCATTTGGAAGAGTGCCCAAACTCCGAAAACAGCATCATACAATATACAACCACTATTAACAGAATTAGAACAAATGGAGGATCAAAATAAACACCCATAAAACACAGGTAATATTATTCTCAAAATCAATCAAACAAAACAGAACGAAATATCAACTATATAAAGATGGGACACTCCTCGAAGTCGTCACATCTGCAAAATTCTTAGGTTTAACTTACAATTCAAAATTAACGTGGAGTGAACATATTAAGAGTATCAAAAATAGGATCTAACTTAAAGCGAGGTATCCTGCAAATCTGACAGGTAATAATTAAGGAGCTTCACCAGATATCACACTCAAAATATATAAAACATTATTAGAATACGCCTGCACAACATGGCTGAAAGATTCTGACACTCAGATAAAACACGTACAGAAAACACAAAACTTTGTACTCACAAAAGCCTATAAAGTACCCCGTAAAACAAACTTAATCTTTTCACACACATACTCAAACATCCATCGTTTCTTTGACAGACTCCTTGAAAACTCATTAAAATAGTATAAGAAAAATAATAACAAAAAAAAAAGCCTAATGAGCAACTTAGAGAAGTACATCATACATGATGGACAAAATCAGAAGTACCTGTCGCCATTGAATAAAATAAATAACATTATTAAAACGGCCGCTTAGTATTACAGAATTTTTCAGATACATTCATAATCTTATTTTTAAAAAGGATTTATTTTATGTGTACTAAAATGAATATATTTGTGTGTATTACATTATTACTGCAATGGACTGTAGTGTGCACTCAGGACTTTGTGTAAACTTACATCAGCGATTTATTTGTAATTATGTAAACAAATGATGGTATCAACCGATAATATGGACAAGGCCTTAAAAGTGCAATGCGAAATTTTATTTATGGACTCTAAGAAAATAAATCTATCATATTTCAAATGTGGGAAGTATAACCAGAAAAATTCTATGTGGATCAAATAAAACCTCAGCGACCTGGACACAACATCATTAGCGTAGAACCCTTGGAGACATCTTGTAGTGTAAACTCGACCAGACTACAATAATAAGAAGCAGAAGTTTTAAACAATAAAAAAGAACTAGAGATCATCTTTGGAGGAAAACAAACTAAACATGAAATCTGAAACATCTGATACAGCAATAAAAATCAAGTAGCAAAAATCTACTGTTAGGAGGGAGGAAGAGATCGAACGTGTACCTGACCCTCCCAGGTCCAACAAAATCGGACCTAAAAATCCGTTACAGCGAATGATACGCATTCTATCTGGATATTTTGTTACTATATATTTTGGTTATTATTGGAAACTAGCCAAAATGCTGAGACTTTAATTTACAAACTTTAATTTGTAAAAGTTTGTTGCGATGTGAATTTTGTTCAAACTCAACTATTTACAATAGCAACTGCAGTAACGATATACGGATTATTCTATAAAATATTTTTATTATTCAATGTAGGGGAAAGTTTAATAATAATTTTGTTTGCTTTTGGACTGCTAATTCAGTATGCTGGGTTTTGGTGTGGATTAGTCAACTCGTTTAGGGAGAGATGCGTCCACAGACAGACAGAAAGTATTCTTTGATAGTATGGATAGTTACCACACCGGCATGGCTTAATATGTATAACGCATATATGAAGAATGCATGTACCCCAATTTTCATACTCAGCTCTGCCTCGCTTCACTTGCCAGAGCTAAATTGATTAGATAACTGCAACAGTGGTTAGTATATAACAAAGGAAACAAAACACTGAATGAAATAATATAATGCGAAGAACACCATTAGAGCAGCAAACGTGTGTAAACAAAACAAATAGAAATACAGAGAGAAATGTGGATAGATTACATTACATAGATGTGTAACCATAAATCAAATAGATAAACAAAGATACGTATTAAAGTTTAAAATATGACACATATTCATGATTAAATTAACTAGGCTAGAAATTGTTGTATGAAAAATAATTACGTATCTTAATCATAACAACCACTTTTCATGTGATTTACAGAAATGATTGATTGTTGTTTTTCAGTTCGACTTTGTATTCCACAGAAGAATTTAAAGTCTTGTTTATCTATGTCTCAAGAGATGCCAAACTTTGTTCAGTGTGTTTTAGGACGAGACAAGTAAGAATATATAGATAAGTGAATAGATATAATTTTGCTAGCTTTAACGATTTCTATTCTCGCTAAAAGTGAACTTCACGTTTTTATTTCAAAGAATTTGTGTTTTGAACAAGGTATTTTCATATTATTTTTTACTTTGATAAAGGTGAATAAAAATCGTTATTGTTCTATATATACAGTGTTTTTTTTTTAAACTGCATAATGGTTCTTGTTCAAAGGGCCTGGCATGGTCTGATAGTTAGGGCGTTAAATTCGGAATCTGCCGGTTGTGAAATCACAACCAAATTTTATTCGTGCCATCAGCCGTGGGATCGTTATATGTAACGGTCAATCCCACTATTCGTTGATAAAATAGTAGACCAAAAGTGGACGATGGATGCTGTCAGCCAATTGCCGTCCTTCTCGTCGGCAATTCAAAATTCATATATTCTTTGAAAAATGTGTTAGATATTTCACTTTGAATTATATTTTTTAACATATATTATATGTATATTACCATGACAGACATTTTCTTCTTTAAAATTGTGTACAAAAAGATTTTGTTTGTTTCTTGTTAATCACACAGTTACAAAATGAGCTATCAGTGCTGTACCCACCACGGGTATCGAAACACAGTTCTTATCGTTATAGGCGTTCAGACTTCCCGTTGATGGTATGGTGGTTAGGGTGCTCGCGTCGCAAGCTAGCGGTCGCGGGTTTGAATCCCTGTTACCGAATGCACTAGCCCTTTCAACTTTATAATATGACGTTCAATCCCGCTATTAGTTAATAGAAGAGCGGCCCGAAAGTTGGCGGTGGGTGGTGTTGACTAGCTGCCTTCCCTCTTGTCTATCACTGCTAAATTAGGGACGGCTAGCGTAGATGGCCCTCGTGTATGTTTGTGAGAAATTCAAAGCGAACCAAAACAAAACAAATTTACCGTTTAGCCACTTGGGGTGGGGCATAACAAAAATTAAAAAAAGAAAAAAAGATTTTCTTATGACTATGATATCATAGTCTCAAGACTGAATTTAATTTTAATTCAGAGTTTCGTTTTCAGTTTACTTACTGTTTATAAGTATTATTTTATTACAAGCTAGAACTTTTATAGTAAGGAAGTTTATTTTTTAGAACAGGTACTACGTTTGAATGTTGATTTAAATGCTAAAATCTTCTTTACCGTTGAAACTTGTGAATGATCGCACCAGTGATCGAAACGTAGTACCTGTTCGAAAAATATTCTTTCTTACTATAAAAGCTGTAATTTGTATTAAAATAATCGTGTTTTGATTTCGTTGAGCATATTACCCTGTCCATCTCGAAGTATAATAGTCACATCTAGTTTCCTTCACCCATTACAGTTGGTAAATCATATACACTTTATACATTCCAGTTTAGGTGGTTAGATAGTATTCACTAATTTTTGAAGAAAAGACAAGGTAAAACATGATTGAATAATTCTAATGACTCGTCGTCATTATTGTGTTTTCAGGCTTGACTGTATGTACATTATTCTGAATGGACAAGCTGACTTGGTGAACGTAGCTCCAGAAGAGATTTACACAGGAGGAAGGTATTTCAGTTTAGTACCAATAGCCATGGAAGCAACAGCCTACGAAAGTAAGTCAAAAATTTATCAAATGCGTATATTTCGGGAGTTCGGCGTTTATAAATTTTCTATACCTCACATAAAGAAACAAATTAGAAGACAACATTCAATATTCAGGGCATCAGACAAAGGTATGTTATTTCTTATACAATACTGCAATAACGTTGCAATGACTTTGGAGGGATATTTAAAAGCAACATTTCACATGCAAACGGAGATTTAGGTATACCAGAAAAACGTGTAAATGAGCAGCGGTTAAGAAGTTCTCAATTATTTTATAATTTAAACCATGAATATACAAGAGGCTAATGGTGAGAGTTTAAACTTAGGTGTTCGTAAAGAATACTGAAGGAATTTTCTCAGAATTAGAAATTAAATTAAATTTCTAATAACGTAACTTTGAACTCTACGATTTTGCATCTGGGGGATATTGTGATTAAGCCACAATAAAGAAAAATCTACGAATGAATTATTAAATATACATAGGAGCAACCTTAGCTTTAAAATACTCAAACATCAAAGCGATATTGTTTCAAACTACCTACCCACATACTGCTTAAAATAACTTGAATATTTAATTAAAACGAACAAGATTTCCGTCGAAATCCTCAAATACACGAAGTCTTTCTCTAAACGGAAATATTTCAAATGTTTGGGATGCAGGAGCTACACATAGATCGTGGTTGAGTTTTGTACTCGCACTTAAGACGACATATACATAATGCGATAATTATTTTATTCCAACAGCTTTGTGAATCATATTCACAGGTACTTGAAATACATTTTTCACATTGTAGTTTGTACACCAGTTTTATTTGTCTGTCTTTTTATGTGCATCGTTTTTGTTTTCGGCCTTGTATGTGTTTTGAAACACCACCCAAAAGTGAAAGAGATGGCTTTGTGTTGTGCTCTCTTTCTTTAGATGTTAGTTCGTTTTGTGTTGGATATTTGCGCAAAACACTGCTGTTTCTGCTAACCGTTCCTAAGTATTAGCTCATAGAGAGAAAGAAGACAGCTTGTCAACAGCACTCACTGCCAACTTTAGAGAAACTCTAATTAAATAGTAGAAATTAACCATTACTTTTATAAAGCACCCTCGACCCTTTAGCGTTATATTTTTCAGCAATGGGACACGAAGTATAGACCCATAGAATTCACAGTCCGGCATGCTAACAGCTAAACCAAGCCCAGCCAGGCTGAATGGAGTGAAAGAAACTCATACAAGCCATTAATAATACTCTTGTCACAAAAGTTAACTCGCTGGTGTAGACATTTTAGGTCTAAAATTTTGAACCACTGGACTCATTTCAATTCATCCAGAGATTCAATTGCCCATGGGAGTAGAAAAGCATCGATGTAATCTACCCATATCCTCGGCATAACTTCATGACAATAACTACTGGAAATGACCACGCACTCTGTGATTATGTCCTTTAGCATTCACTATATTATGGAATGGGTTCTGTCCTTAGTAATCCAGGTAAGCCTGCAGAGCAGTTGTTTCATTGTCATATGATGCTTGTGTCTAAATGATTGCGAGTTATTTCTCTTTGACCCAATTAGCCATCTGGTTTCATAAATGCATTTCATATTCAGCCAACAAGGCACTAAATTACTATCACTGTGATTTATTAAGATTGGTTTCACAGTACTTACCAGGATTTCAAATGTGTTAGCAAACAAGTACTTGCTTTCAGACATGGCATAACAAAAGCAATAATAGTGAGACTGCTAGTTTTGTTCACATTCACTTCCCCTTCTTTGCAGATGACCATTCCAGAAGAAAGCTGAATAAGCAACTGTCCATAATTTCAGAACAGCATCAGGACTGGATCCATCCTCTAACAAAACATTGTTTGGGCAAGAACCAGAGCATTTCAGACATTGCCTCTATCACCACCTAACACATTAGACCTCATTTGTAGTAAACTGTGTAATATCACTTACATAGACGAATCCTGACTCTCTACGAAACATACCCTTATGCAGTGCACTGTTGCTGGGCCCAGTCTGGATGGTATTGGATGATTTTCCCACTAAAATACAATTTACCTGTTGCACAGGCACAACTGACCATTATGATTTTCAATGAATCCATCCCAATGATGCCAATACTAAACCAAGGCTAGAGATGGCTACCTTTATCCTGTGGTTGACTTGAACTAGATATAGAGATGTGCCTCTCCAGTTGTGATACACAGCAAGATCCTGGCAGCTCCTATATAAACCAGGAACTCTTACCAGGAATGAGGAAATGTGGTCACCACACCAATTTTTCTCTTTCCTATCTACTCTGTGGTATTTTCAGATGCACTAGTTTTCCTTTAAAATTAATCAAGTAAATATCATAAAATAACGGGAGACTTCCACAGAAAATGTCTTACAAAGTGAATCTGGATTTTCTAACCTTAACTGAGTTTGAAATAAAGAGACTGGGCACAAGTTAAACACAATGAAGTATTCTTTATTTCAAACAATCAAAGAAATACTATATATGTTGTGGCACGTTTACTGACGAGCTCTCATGCAGTAATAGTGTATAATCTAAATAATATTATTATATATTCTATTTCAAACCTGATTTACTACTGAATAATTTAGAAGAATAACTTAGTAGCTTTAATGTTACATAGTTTTCAAATCTTATATAAATATAGGTTCACTGTAGTGAGTAAATGGCAACTTAAAACATTATACATATAATATTTACTTCCCCACTAATTCAACTCTATCTTATTCTTTCGATTTGCCCTTATCCAAAGTTACTGATGAGTGGTGATTTCCCTGAAACCAATATAACTCAGCGACAAATGATGAACCAAATGTTTTTGTTTATTGTAATCCACATACTGTAGTTCAAGTATCGTTTTCTTTCGAGCTTTGCAGAAACTTATCTTATTGATGTCCCACAGAGCCCTATATTTATCGTGCAGCAGCAGTGGTGAGGAAGGACTTGGAGCTCAGAAATTTAGCAGATCTTCGCAACAAACGTTCATGTCACGGAACATTCAATGACGTGGTAGGATGGCACGTACCAATCAGCGTTCTTATTGGCACAGAAGCTATAACACAAAATTGTACAAATGAGCTCCACACTATAGGAGGTTTCTTCTTAGAAAGTTGCATTGCTGGTAGCTGGTCTACAGATCCCGTTTTTGAAGAAAAACTTCGTAAGTTTTGTAGTCCGAATAATAGAAAAATACATTATAACATAACGAAACTTCTAATAACTTAGTTTTGAATTACACTATAGGTATAAACTGGAGAAGATTTTCAACAAATGATTTTTCATTTCTTATGCAATTGCAATAAACTAGTGAATTGTGGGTTTTGTATAATACTTTAACGGTGTAATCCAAGTTCAACCAAACTAAAGTAATTTTAAAATCTAAGGAAAAGAAGGTAAATATCGAATTGCCTGTGTTTCATTTACCTACTCAAGAACGTTTTCTTTATACAAAAGCGTATGTATTTTGATCCTACAGCTACAAAAAACTAAAAAAACACACTAAAAACTGTGTATATTTCATTATTTTTTCTACAAATCATGTGAAAACGTTTATTATGTTATTATTTTACAAAATTATCTACTTTTATTTTTAGTTGTCAGTTTGAAGTCTAAGAGAGTTAAAGGAAATAAAGGAATTAATGAATGTGAGGAAAATCCTTAACTTGCAAAAACTTCATTAGTTTAAACATATTGCTAAATGCTTCTACATGTACCAGAGCTAGGCTCTATTCCATTGTTTTTCAGCATATGTTTCACTAAAATACTTTCTACAGGACAACAATATCCTCAGCTATGCAGTGGCTGTGGCAATGGAACTTCTTGTTTAGACAATAGTTTTGCTGGCCACGAGGGAGCGCTACGGTGTCTTGTGAATGGAGAAAGCGATATTGCTTTCACAACAATAGAAGCAACCCAAACTTTTTTTGAAAATCGAAAAATTCAGGAAGGAAAGTACGAATTTCTATGTCTCAATACGAGCAGACAGTCATTAAAAAATCCAAAACCATGTTATTGGGCTCAAATACCGCCTAACGCTTTCATAGGCTTGCCACATCAGGGTAAGGAACTTGGTTTATAAAAAAATAAATAAAAGATAGAACTGAACTTTCTCCAATACCACATAAAATGAACAAAACATTTGTGATTCATGGCATTTTATAATCTTTATGTTCTGTCATAATACGTCATCAATGATTTGTTTTCATGAAGAAATATAAATTACCTTTAATTTTGATACTAAATGCCATATTAATTCATTTGCTTTTATATATGAAACATTAGTGCGCATTGTAATTTGCTAATATTTAAAATATCAATCAAAGCAAGTTATTCAGGTACCAGTCAATAGGTGGCTATATAAAATAGGTGACCCATATTCGAGTTAAAATATAATAGATCGTTAATTGAAAACTATTTTTTGTTGATGTAAAATGCTTCTTTACACAAAAAGCTTATATTTTTGGGTATGATTATTATTAATATGCTAGAAAGCATATTTTTTACCGGATTTGAATCTGGTGTATATGTAAGATTTCGAAATCAAATTTTGAGAAAGCTCTTCGGATTCAATGGAGAATTTGTAGGTGTTCTGATTACTTAAACGATTGCATTATAAAATTCCCATATTATGAATACTTCTGTTAATTATGAAACTGATTATTTCTGTTACATTGGATTTCGTTAAGAAGGAAATCAACCAACGTTTCTTTGTTTGCATCTTCGAGAAATGCCATCGCAGATCTAAAATAAATTAATAAAAAGAGTCATAAAGAATGAGCCAGACAGTTTAGACTCTATCAGAAATCACAATCTTTCTTTTTTACTAGAAGGCTAAATTGAAGTTACTCATATGAGTACTCACATTAACCTGTATATTAAAACACTGAAGTAAGATTTATCCAAAAATGTGGACGGAGCTGAGAGTTCTATCTGTTTTATTTGTTGTTTTGCTATTGTTTGCATTTCTGTTCAGTTTTCTATTTTACATAATAATGATTTCAACAATAAAATGGTCAAGTATTCAGATGTACTATAACTTTTTTAATTTTTAGATTCTGATAAAAATAGATTAGTTCGAATCCTCCAGGAAATTTTTACGCGATATACAATTCTCGGAAGACCATCTTGGGGTCACTTAGCCTTTGTATCCAGTGAAAATGTTACCAATGTCGTTCCTGTGCCCCCGACGATGAACACGTGGTACGATTATTTAGGTAAGCATTAATTTAGCCTCCTTTGATAATATTCACGGTTACTTTCAGAGCAGGTTACATAATGTATTTTGCTGTTTCGTATTGTGATTTATATTGTTGAACACTATTTAAGTGGTAATCCTGGTATAGAAGAATAACACCACACAGGTGTACTGTCCCCGCATAAAAGAAAAGTTTCGAATTTATTTGAAAGGATTGTTAATGAGGGGACATGTGCAGAAAAGAAGAAATAACAAGCTTGACGAACATAATTAAACATTGTTTATTTTATGTTCCACAATTACTTCAGATGTGTTCAGCTTAAAAGATGAAATTAAAGTATAAATAACAAAAAACTAAAATGATCTTCAAATGAAAATTACAATATGACAAAGCACGATCAGCGTGAATAATAATTGATCTGCACAAAAACATAGCACTTTACAGTAGGTCTTGGCACTTTTAAAACGGTAATTAATCTTTCTTTCTCTGAAAGCACCTAAACTACGCTCTCTTTGTAAATGACTAATCAAACAAAACAACAGTCTTAAGAAACAGTAGATAGTTTCAGCTTCTCTCTCATGTGTCTGGAAAGAAATCCTAAACCAAATCTCAGATGGATGTTAAATAATTCGAGAAATATCAAACGCGGTACAAAATAAAATTATAAAAACCATTATTAGATAAAAGCGCAAAATAATTATACAATCTAAACCAGAGCGATTTAGTCCTTAGACTTACCAACACATGTAAAACTAAAAGACTACAAAGCTTTATGCCAAATTGCAAATAAAGTGATAAAAATAGTCGAAACACAAACAATATAGAGATACACAAAAGACATTAAACAATTTATTTCCCCTCAAAACCATTAAATTTAGAGCTGCCGATCAAACGGAGGGCCATGCTCAGCATCGCATCGCCCACCACCAACTTATGGGATACTCTTTTACCAACGAATTGCCGGATTTACCGACGCATTATAACGCCTCCACGGCTGTAAAGGCGAATATGTTCAGCACCGGGTTTCGATCCAGCTACCCACAAATTGTGAATCGTGCACCCTAACCTCCAGGTTGCCAACTAACAAATATATAAAAACTCTGTTTTTAAACGAATTTTCAAATGAACCCAAATTAAATTATTTCAAAACAACAAAAACTTTAAAACAACCTAAAAATATATGAAAC